TCCAGCCTTACCGAGCCATCTTCCAGGCGGAGATGGAGAATAGCATCTCCTTCCTTATAGCTTCTGGTTATTTCTGCCACCCTCCAGACTTCAACGCTGTCAGGGATCCACACCCGGGCACCCTGCAGGGACACAGAAGGGAAGGGACCCCTGCAGAGAGCCATGACCAGGAGACAAGGGAAGCACCTGGCCACCAGCCCCCGGACCAAACATCACAGCCCCCCCCCGCCACTTAGAGTCAGCCCAGTGCTCAGCATCGCCATGGGACCCAGCACCCTGCTAGGGACCCCATGGCCCCTTGGCTCCTGCAGCCAGGGGTCCCACCCAGCTCTCCGGACGTGCAGGAAGGCGCCTTTGCTGGAACCTCACTTCTCCCCAGCAGTGCTGCCTCCACCCCACCCAAGGGTGTGATCGCTCCCGCTGCTGCAGGGGAGGTTTCTGGAAACACTGAAGATGCCAAGCACGGGTCTTCCCAAACACCCACTGCGCCGGGGACGAGCACCACGGCTCAGCCGGGAGAGATACCAGGCTTGAAAGCAGATGGGCGCAGGACAGATCCCTTGCCAACTACCGAGCAGATCCAGACACCGTCACCAGCTCTGCAGACCCAGCAGCATCAGTGAGAAGACAAGTCACCCCATGCCCTTTTCACCCCCCAAGATTTGTAGCTCCCCGGGGCCAGCCACAGGGTAACTTTGTGCCAGGGACCAGCTGTCCCCACGGGCCCGGTGTTCCCTGCCGCCAGCCCCTGCCATCTCCAGTTTCCCTCTGCAGACTCCGGTGCTGATGAAGTGGGAGTTCTGCAGCCTGGCGAGCCCTGACTTCCCTCCGCACCCAACCCTGAGCATTAACACCTTCCTCACGCCTGGAAAAAGCCTCTTTGGAGCCACCCTGCAGGGAGCAGGAGCCCACGCTCAGCACAAGCGAAGCAGCACACCGCCACAGGGGTAAAAACTAGACCAAACCCCCTCCGAACCCTGCTGCAGACATCCTGTCAGCTGACGAGAGGGTGAATACCCAGCCCGAGCTGGCACCGGGTGACCCACGCTCCCAGGCCAGGGAGCTGCAGCTCCTGCTGCCCCCGCTCCTGGCGCGGGTGCCCGCGGCCCCGCTCTGTGCTGAGCTGTCAGACACCGTTTTGGCAGCTTCTGTCAGGCTGTGGGGAGCAGGGACTGCTTCCTCCTGCTGCTCCGAGCAGGCGGAGATGAGGCCGCATCACAAGCTCGAAGAGGCAGGAGGAACCTAATGGTGGCAGCTTTGCTCTCAGGCCGAGCTGGGAGCGTGCGTCCGTTTCCCCCAACTCTGGGAGCTGCGGCAGAGCAGCGACAGGGCTCTAACGCGTCGCGTTCCCACCCCAGCAGGCTGGGGCCAGCCTCCTGCTAGAAACCAGAGCCTGAAAAACCATAGCCTGAAAAACCATCCGGGTTTTGCTGATTTTGCAAATCCAGGGAAGCTGGCTGGCAGCAAACGTTTCCCAGGTCTGCAGTGTGCAAGGCACATGCGTTAATGCATCATTGAAGTTGGTCAAACAAGCACCGAATAGGCTGGAAATCTGGGGAGGGGGAAGGAAGGGCCTCAGCTTTGGGTTCACATCCAAGAGAGTCGCCAGAGAAGGGAAGGTCTGACTCTGCAGCCGGAATGAAGAGGGCGGGAAGGGGATCGGGACGCAGGGGCCGAGCGGCGGCGATAGGAAGCCATTATTTTTTATGAGCAGTAGCCGCTGGGGGGAGCGAAAAGTGCACGATGTACAGCTCCCCGGCGAGGCACTAACGGGTTTGAGTCCGAAAACCCGGCTGGACAAGAGAGCATCCCTGCCAGCCGGCGCGGCTCGCCCCTCGGCCGCTCCCCAGCAATCCTCTGAGGGGGGATGCTCGTGTGGGCACAGCCCGGACGGTCACCTCGGGGCTCCTCGGGGCACTTGGCTGGGTCAGTCACGCTGCCACTCCGGTCCCAGCCTGGCTGGCAACGTGGGACGAGGCAACCCACAACGAGCCCCTTGTTTTGCCCAGACCGGCACCTCAGTCACGACAGCGACGGCTGCTGCACCTCTGACCCCTGCAGAGATGCTGGTACCCTCCTGCCCCCCAGCTGATGTACACTCAGGGAGAAAAGACCACACTTCGGGTCTTCCCTAAGCTGTAGCAATCATTTCTGATACACAGCAGCCAAAGCAAGAGCCTGTCCTGCCACCTGCTCACAGCGGATTTGTCCTCAACAGGCAGAGCTGGACCAGGGCGGAGGATGCGAGCCAGGCTCAAGGGGATGAAGGCAGCCAGGCCAGATGGTGGCCAGGCAGCACCAAACCCTTGTTCTCACTCGCGATGAGCACCCCTGCAAGATGCTGCACTTCCCAGGCCATGGGCCCCTGGGTGTCACACACAGGGTGGGCTGATGGGCCACCAGGCACCCTGCAAGGGGCCATCAGGCCGGGTGCCAGCAGGGAGGTGACCCAGGGGGACATGCAGGCCACAGCACCTGCAGCCACGCCGGGTGCTGAGCCCCTGGGGGAGGCACGAGATCCCCCAGGTCTGCAACAAGCACCCCAGACCCACGGGCAGGGCCCCCCCAGCTGCCGCACCCCCCCCAGCTGCAGGGGGACGCAGCCCTTCCAGCTCCCTCCGCAGCACCCCGGGGTGGGACCCCCCGGGCCCCCTCACCTGAGTGTACAGGTCCTCCGTGGCCATGGCACCCCCCACGCTGCTGCCCGTGCTTCCACCCCCCCTGCCCGCGGTCCCTTTATGGCCGCTAATTGCTGCTAATTGGAGGGGGATGGGGTGTGGGGTCCCCGCCCCACTCCACCTCCCGCTCCGCCCAACAGCCCCTCCCCGGGCCAGAGCAGCTCCTGGGGGGGGGGAGGGTACTGTGTGGGTTCCCCCCACCGGCTGCCGCACCCCAAGATCCCTCCCAGCTCAGGCACCCCAAGGGCCCCCTGTGCAGGGCTCTGTGCGACCCCCATCCAGGACACCTCCAGAATCCCCGTAAGAGACACCCCAGGACCCTGCTTGTGACATCCTGAGAAGACTTATCTGGGACACCCCCCCCCTTCCCAGGACAGCCCAAACTTCCCCCCTACCTGCGACACCCCAAGAGCCCATCGAGGGCACCCAAAGACCCCTCCTATCTAGGGCACCCCAAAACCGCCCTCATCCAGGGCACCCTGGGCCCACTCTGAGCCTTGATCGCCTGCACCCCAGGTCCCCCATCCAGGGCACTCCGAGCACCCACACTCCACCACAGCCCCGTGGCACCGGCCCCTGCTCCCCCCTCGTCAGAGAAACTCCGGTAACGACGAAAACCTGTGGCCACAGCACCAGCAGTGTACTGAGGGCTGTCTGTGGGTGCCGTGGCCCACGGGTGCTGCTGTCTGTGGGTGCCACTGTCTGGGTCCTCACTGCCCATGGGTGCTGCTGTCCCTCCAGTGCTGTGGTGGCCCAGCCAGCCCCGCAGAGCTGGGACAAAGCCTGGGTGACTGGCTGCCACGTGGAGGTGGCGGCTGGTGGGTGCGGCTGGGGACAGAGGGATAAGGGGATGCCCAAGCAGGGCGAGAGGAGGGGGATGGCGAGCAGCACCGCCGTGCCAGGAGCAGCCGTGGGGACAAGGAGATGAGACCCACCGCAGGGTCACCCAGCCTGGACAGGGACAAATCCACCACAGGAGGAGGCCGACGTCCCCATCAGTTCCTGCTCCTTGCCCCGAGCACCCCAGCTGGCTTTGCCGAGCCTTGGCCCCAGAGCCGGTGCCGCTCCAGGGAGGCCAAAGCCACCCCAGAGGTGGCAGCTTTGGTAAACCCACCCCCTTCAGCGCGACATGGCAAGCAGGGCCGTGGAAACGTCACCACCCCACCCTCGCCCCCCAAGAGGCGAGCACATTTTGCAACAGGGAACACACATTTTCTGATTAAATGAGTAAGGATTCCCTAAGTGCCCGAAGGTTTTCCAGGGTACGTGGTTCATTAACAAATCACGCAGGCGGGTTCACGCCATCCGCAGCCCGTGGACACAGACCGGAGCTCCGTTAAGAGCTGAGCTTTCAGCCCGGGAGAAAACGGGCGCCCAGGCAGGAGCGACCGCTCCCCAAAGGGGTCGATGACACTTTCCAACAGCCACCTCGAAAGCCCCAGCCCAGCTGGGGACAGTCGTGGCAGCGGAGCGCGCAGCGGCTCCGGCACGACGAGACGCGGTGACAAACTGTGCCACGGTGGCCTGATGCCAGCCGACGGCACCCAGGGGAGCACTGAGGCCCCGGGGCACGTCTTCCCCATCACCCCATCCCACATTGCACCCCATCCCACCCCAGGGAGCCACGGCTCGGCCACCCACAAACCACCAGCTGACGTACAGACCTGCAGGGGAACGACCCGAAACCAGAGCAGGGCAGCTGGTCCCGAGGACGCTGGAACGGCCGCCCAGGGGCTGCAGGCAGTGAGACACCGTAAGTAGCACATGAATTCATATATAGTAAAAAGTCTTTATTAAGAAGGCTTTGAAGTCAAAAAATAAAACTCTTGATACAATTTTCATAACCGTCAAGTCAGCTCAGCAAATATATAATCAGTACTTTAGCCATGTAAGGTTAAAGGTCCGTTATTTTCTTTTTAAAATAAAATATATTTTAGTTTTTAAAATTTATTCAATAAAGTACATATTTTCCTATAAATTCCCTACATATACATAAAGAGGTAAAAAATAAAAAAATAAAACTAAAAAAAAAAAACAAAACCCAACCACAAAATAAAAAGGAGATAGAAATCTGTCTGGGTTTTGCGACATGGCGTTTTAACAGTGCCCCCTCTGTCCCGCGAGCTCTCCCACCCAGACCAGCCCCTCCCACCACGACCCCCAACCTCTCGTCACACGTTTTTGGGCAGTTTTCACATTGGCAAAACAGAAGATAGAACTGTGTTACAAAAAAAAAAAAAAAAAAAAA